ATTGTTCATATCACAATCAGACGATTGAGTACTCTGCCTACGACGTCGTGCTCAAACTTCGTCTTTGTGTGATATTGCTATCATATCCACCCTTGTTGAACAAACTATAATTTATTTGTTTTCTTGGTTTAAACCAAAACTTAAGTTTTACATCAGAAATAGGAACTAAATTAATTTACTTTTCAAGTTTTCTTGTAAAAATCGATATTACTTTCTCCAAGTACAAATTTAGTACCTACCTAAAATAAGTACTAATTATGTAATATCGTGTAATATTGTAATTCAAATTTCACATTACTATAAAGTTTCAAAATTCCCTACTTCGGTATGGTCAGATAAAAATTGAATATATTATATTAATAAAAACTGTCAAAGTATTACTTCTAGAAATCTGTATTTCAATTAATAAGAATACATCTAAATATAACCAATATTGTTAAAATAAAAGCACAAATTCTTTATAATTCCAAAATACCATAGAGTTCCCAGACCTCAGTCGAAGCATTCGTTTATCTAGGTATAAACCCTTTGCGCGAAGAGTAACACTTGCCAGAGACACGGGGTACCACTTGATTTACATCCACGAGCGTGACACAATTCTTTAACAATTGAAGCCCTTGGTGTAAAAAGGATCCAAACCACAATTTGTCGTGAAGTGACTGTTTTAGCTCAAAACATTTGTTAACCAGGATTTTACTAGCCACATACAAATTATTTTACCTCTAATCCGAAAGATGTGCTATTTTTCGTAATATTTATATTTAAATAATGTTTCTAATTATATTTGACAGATTTAAAACAAATTAAAAATTTAATTTCCCAAAACTTACTTAATATGGCATGTAACCAACCTTATTACGTCAAGGTTTTCAATTTTTCAATAATAAAAAAATTGTTTAATCCGGGCCCGACTTTTCCCTCGAATCTAACAGAGATTGCTTGGTTCTCGACCGCCAGATCAAAGACGCCGACACGGAGTTGTGGAGCTGTATTGTATAAGCTGTGGTTGTACCTCATTATCACTTGTAATATCTGATGTTATAAGAACCTTTATTGTTTTTTGGATACCTATTTGGTAGTTCTCTAAAATAATTTTATACACTACACTTTTTTAAATAAATAGAATGGCTTCCAGAGATTGTTTACGAAATACTATAACTATAATAGGTCTCCGTAACCAACAAAAATTCAAAATAAAAGTGAGGTTAAGATATCTAACTTTAAACTTTCGAATTTTTAAATTCTTTTTTCACATATTTTTATTAGTATTTGTGAGATAGCAGAGCAATTTTAAAAACCACCCATCTTTTTCCCATTCTTAAAGATTTGTTAAATCTTAGGCATACTTTAATTTTTGTTTATATTAATGTCCACTCACCTTCGGTAAAATATGTTCTATAAACAGAAAAAAGAGTCCAATTTCCTCTTGTTATAGTCTATTTTTATGCTTCAAAAAAATAAAAAAAAAAAATAATTAACCAAATGAATAGTTTTTCTCTCTTTTCATTTTAACACCTTTTCCTTTTCCGTTGATTGTTACCAACTTCTTAATTTGAATATTAGTACATCTAAAATTATTTTCCAACGCTAATGCTAGACTCTACTTTTAACAATAATAATTTATTTATTTCATTTTGTTTATTACGTACAAATTCAAACAATTCAGTTTATAAACCTATATTATTATTAAGAAACATTTATTTTTTCGCCAACGCCATCTATTAGCCGATGGTCAAAATATTTAAATTTGACAACCTCTAAACTGTTATCTTAAATATTAGAATGGTTAATTCGTCTATTTATATCTTGAGGGCGTTAATCAGTTATAATCTAAATAAAATTTAATTCCTGTAGAATTATAAACACTTGTCCAAGAACCCATTTTAGTGCTTGTAGGGTTTTTTAAAAAGTTTTTAAATTTGTTTGTCTTAATTGTTCGTCCGTTCGTGAAATATTTTAATAATTTTATTAATAGTTTTAGACCTACTTTTGTTTATGTGTTTTGACATCAACTTTTTGTTGCAACTATTGTTTTTTTTATATTTTTTATGTATTTTAAAAAATACTCGCATACTTGTTTTTACACCGACCCTGGGATAATTCTATTAGCTTAGTCTTAAATAGATGAGTAATTACGGGTGAGTTCTTGATATTTGACAACTTTCATATTAAAATGTTTAAACCCACTTATTAGTTATGAGCTCATTCGTTTTTCCTCTCTATTTTTAGACCTTACCTGATGATGAGGATTTGATCCTCGAAACCGGTCGTTAATAAAATACTCTTGTGAGATCCTAAGGACCACCCTTGTTTGATTTACCTTTTTGAACTTATAACTCACACATGGCTACCACCTTCAACTTTAATCTATTTTTATGTATGAGAGAGTATTAAAATAATAAAGCGTTCGTAACTATAGGCGTACCACTTCTTTTAGTAGACAGTTAAAATATTTTTTGAAGTTATTCCTCGAGTATACACTTATATTTTCACCTAATTAACCTGCTTATAACTTCTAAACAGCTGAAGGTAAAAAAGGGCAATTTTTGCTAAAATGTTTTATTTTTCCACAAGGTATGTTAAGAACATTGTGTCAAACGGGTTATGTAGGTATAAGGGTTTAAACTTTGACTTTTAAACAACGTTACGTTCATAAATAATAATTTTAATATAACAACTACTTCTTACCTATAAATCCAAATCAGAATCGAAATCAGAAGATGAACTGTCGCAACCAATATTTACAATGAGTGGCTCGATCATTTCATCAGTAATATTGTCCAAGTTCCACATTTTCTCTTCTTCTTTAATCGTATGATTTACTGCCTTTTCCCAGTTTTCAGGCTTCACATTATTTACAGCCTCCAAAAACAACTGTTTAACATCACTCACTTTAAAAGAATTATTTTTTCTTGAAACTTCTCCCTTTATCTGTGCCCATATCAGTTCAATCGGGTTTACTTCGCAATGATATGGTGGTGATCTAACCACCGTCATCCCACGATTTTTTGCAATTTCATCAATTTCATATTTTTTGAATTTCTTTTTATGAAGGGAACACAAATGATACAGTTCTTTTCTCACAGAACCGGGATGGAACTTAATATTCTTTGAATTTAACCAATTCTGTAAAACTTTTTTTAACCACTTGGTTGTGGGCATTTTTTTTTATAAGTCTCGAGTGATAACTTGCATTATCCATTACTATTATACAGTTCTGAGGAAGAAGATCTATAATTTGTTCGAACCACTCTTTAACGACATCAGCATTCATGTCCTCATGGTAGTCACCGGTACGAGTAGATTCAAAAGTCAATAAACCACCTTTAACAAAACTGTTTGATATACCGATGTGTACTATTATTAGTCTGCGCTCCTTTCCTGATGGTGGATTTAAACCAGTAGATAAATTATTTAAAAAAGCCTGTCTTCGACTTGTAACAGTTTCATCTTGTCAAAATTTATTTAGTTTATGTCCCTCGTTGATCCATGTTTCATCTAAATAAAATATATTTCCTCTTTTGTTTCTCATTTCTTTTATAGTCCTTAGGTAATTTCTTCTCCATACTACAATCCTTATCATCTCGAACCGTGGCAAGAACTTTGTCTACTGTCGGAAATTCTTTTCTAAAGAAGAACGCATGCACTTTCCTTCGAAGTCTTTCTTTCAAAAGATTTTCTAATTGAAATTTTGGTTTTCCTGGAGCTTTACGTGCTGTTTGAAACTCGCCACATTTCTCTTCTTTAACAACTCTGTAAATCGTACCAAGCGTACTACTAACTAAGTCCACTGTGTCATCAACACTTTTACATAAATGTTTGACTGTAAATGATTTAAAACAATTAAATATTAATGTTTTTATATTAACTGTTAAAGGACCGATTTTTTGTCGTTTACGCGGCCCTTCCAAATTTTCCATGATCACACTAGAATTCACACTGCACCTTGCAAGTTGCAACTAAACGACATTAAGTAAACTGTCAAGAGTACACAATTTGGACCTCCTTACTAAATGGAAAACCTATAATCGCATTTTCGGTGAAATTTGTTGGGAAGGTATTTATCTACTTATAATTTGATTACTGTAAGAAATTCTTGGAATTAAAATAAAACAAAAATTGGCAAATAAGTACTTATTGAAAATAATCTTAAGATACGGCTATGTAATCTTTAATGCACAGGGCTTTTGGCCTGTCCAAACCTTTTTCTATTGTTCTGTACAGCTTATGTTTACAAAGGACCAATAAAAGACCCAAAACTTGTAATAGCTTAGGTACATTTATTACAATTTTAGGAAATATTTAGATTATTCTGTAAAAATATTTAAAATGACCGTACTAAGTTTTGCATTAGAAATGATGTTTTATTACTCTCTCATACATAAAAATAGACTATAGGAGGGTATTATATAATTTTGGACCTAGATACAAATACGATCCTTGTCTTACTGATTTCTGTGTACAAGGCACAGTATGGAAATATTTTTGCCATGTGCTGTATGGATGATCTGGTAAGTTAAGGCCACAGTAGATGTCATTTATGTGACATATTTAAGAATCCTTTTGTTTAATAGATGGAGCAATATTCGATATTTAATAGTTCTTTTATTCAACAGATGGCGTAATATTTCTATTTATTGTGCTTATTTCTAGCTTTTAATTCAAAAATTAAACATGGCAATGTTAATTTGAGAATCCCTGGATTCAAATGATTTAATTAATGAATTAAGAATTAAAGTTATGCTGAATTTAAAATACGCTTTTTTGATTACATTTCTAGATAAATATCTCTCTGTATGAAAATAATTAGTATAAAATAATAGGATTTTAATTTTTATTGTTCCAAACTGATACAAGATGACCGACAAATTCACAAAATGTACTTAAGTTGTGTCTCATCTCTACTATCAGAGTTTAAAAATTTATGGTTTTAATAAAAATCATTATTAATCAATTAAACGCACATACTTATATAATTATCTAAAAAATTAATATCTCAACATGACATTTGCGATTTAGATAATGAAATAGTAATTATAATAATATAATATATAGATCGATAAATGAACAAACATTTTAGTTATCAAAATGAATTCTTTCTTAGCACTCTCGTGCTTTTTCATTTGTTTTATAACAACTTTTGCATTTGTAAAAGATGGTAAGTTAATTTAAATAGGCGAGGATTTTTGAAAATATTGTAGTTACTATTTAATTTTTGCAGACACTCAACTTTGGAGCCACACATTTAAAGTACAAGAAAAATCGTTTTTTGTGAATTCAGATAAAGTAAGTACCTATTATATTTATTTATAAAAATAGTTAAATATTATAAAAATTAATTGACTTACCTAAAGGAAGATAATTTATAATTTTCCAAGCTTGTACGTAGATCTAATTTCATTGTAGTTTCTTTAAAACATATCCATCAGAACGTAAACAAAATGAAGCATATTCACTGTTCTTAATCGTATACGAAAATCACCTTATATTTGGGAACTAAATATGTATCCACATATATTAGGGTGGGATGGGAAATAATTATATCTACGGACAAGCTCGGAAAATTACAAGTAATCTTCCTTAAGGTGAATACACCACCATTTACAATTTTCGAACAAGAATATTTCAAAAAGTAATTTTGTTAAAAAATTAATATTTTGGCAAAATAAATAAGGTAATTTTAACTAAATATAAATATATTTTAAAGTTTTAATTCCTTTCAGTTTCCGAGAAAAAAATCAAAGAGCTTTAAATTTTAAAATGTGATAATAACAATAAATGCATTCCTCGACAGCATTAATCTTAATATAAAATTTAAGATTTTAATGCGTTGTTAATGATTTTTTAAAATTCGCCAAAATTAGTGGCTAAAACACCTCGTTAATTAAGTGCTGCCTTGTGGTGTAACGCGCATGTAACTATCGTATCGTACGTACACTTGCCCACGCTCTATCTAGGGAAGATCGTCTAAGTTATTTAAGAAGTGATCTTATACAGAGATAGAGGCAATTTGAAGATAATTCGTGCAAAAAAATCAAAAACACGAGTTAGACCAGTTTTGTTCAAAACCAGCGATATTGTTATAAAAATCTTACCATTTGTGTCAAACTTATGTTGCCAAAAAATTTGCTTTTAACTTACTGTATTTTTTTTATTTGTAGATGAATTTCACCGAAGCATTGGATTACTGCAAGAAAAATAATTTGCAACTGGCAGCTATTGAAACCCTGGCTGAAAGCGAACATCTATACAAAGAAATGAGTTATTTAGGAAGTAAGTAGCTATTTAGTTAGATACCTATTTCGAAACGTTTGTAAAAATATATTTGTATTTGAAATACAAGTACTTCTTAAAAAATAAATAATTTAATCTTCTAATTTTAATGAAAATTTCACACCACCATTTTTAAGCCAACCAGAGTCTATTTTTACTTTCCTATCTGTATACAGATATAAGGAAAGTATAGGAATCATGATTTTTTTCGACCTCGAGTTTTCGACGGATTTTTACGTTTTGAGGTCCCCTGAATCCGTTTTGACTATTTTCGCGATGATGTCTGTATGTGTGTCTGTATGTGTGTCTGTGTGTGTGTGTGTGTGTGTGTGTGTGTGTGTGTGTGTGTGTGTGTGTGTGTGTGTGTGTGTGTGTGTGTCTGTAGGTCGCATAACTCATGAACCGATACACAGAAAAACACCAAATTTTAAACTTAAGCTTTGTTTTAGCGTCCAATGAGCTTATTATATTTTGGGTAGAGTCGGAACATCTGGGGGGGGGTACTTTATGGGTGGTCATTTTTATATTTTATGGAATATATCTGTTATTTACGTTTGGCGAAGAAAATTCTTCAAATAAAAGTTACTTCTAATATAATTATCTATAATTTTTGTTCTATACAAAATTTTCCTAAAATGGTCCGTATTCGAGAAATTTGACAAAATGTAAAAAAAAATAATTTTTTATAAAAATTGTTTGAATAAAAGTTGTTTATAATATAATTCTCTATAATTTTTATCCTATACATAATTTCTATAAAATGGACCGTATTCGAGATATTTGAGAAAATGTTAAATTTCGAATTTTGAAGAAAACTCAAAAACGGATAAAGGAAAAAACATTTAAATTTTAAACTCAAGTTTTATTTCGACCTGAGGTGAACTTTATTAGATTTTGGACAGAGTCGGAACATTTGGGGGGGTACTTTATTGATGGTCAGTTTTATATTTTATGGAATATATTCGTTATTTACGTTTGGGGAAGAAAATTCTTTAAATAAAAGTTACTTACAATATTATTATCTATAATTTTTGTTCTATGTCAAATTTTCCTGAAATAGTCCGTATTCGAGAAATTTGACAAAATGTGCAAAATTTTGATTTTTAAGAAAATTGTTAAACTAAAAGTTTTTTGCGATATCGATCTCCATAATTTTTGTTTTTAAATGACTTTTCTAAAATGGACCGTAATGGAAAAATTGAAGGAAAAGTGCTAAATTTAAATTTTTCAGTAATTTCGTTTTCAATGAATATCTATTAGAAAAATGTTTCGAGGTAGATGTATGTGGAAAATGTATATATTTAGTTTATCTTCTAAACATTTTTAGAGATGCTGCAATAGGTTAACTAGATAGGAAAGTCATGTGTTGGACATATCAGATTTTTTTGTTTGGTTACCATGGTAACCCAAAAAATTTCTAGAAATTTTCATCCTCCAGGGTACCCTGGACGAAATTAATAAGTGGAAATTTTTATGTCAAAATAATGACACTTGTAATGGGCTTGATTCATATAAGACTTTTTGTTTACTTTTTGTGCAAATCAAAATTAAACAATTACTACTTCTTTTGTTTTTTTTTAATTTCTTTATTATTAATTACATCTATTAAATGTTTTTCTAAATCAATTAAAAAATCTTCTTTCTTAAGAAAGGACACTCGTATTAATTAAATGTCTATGCTTAAGTAAATAAATATAATATTTTGGAACAATTCGTTTAAACTTAATTTACAAATCCAAGAAAACTTGGTAGACACATTGAGTAAATTCTTCTGTATTGTACTAAATAGATTTTCCTCAGGATTTTGTAAACTGCACTCCAAACTACATTCATCAATGTTTTAAATTTGTGTGATACACTTTGAGATCACAGAGTTGTTCACAATGTTTGCATAATGTATATTTTTTAACTTTTTCCATAGTAATTCGATTTACCAAGATTTTTTAATAATGACGCAAAAACTTTACCAAAAGTTATAGGTTATTATTCTGCACTGTCAATGAGTTAAACTGTCAGCAAAATAATTGTCTACAATTTTTCCAAAGCCACCTAAGCTCTTATTTGTTTCATGCAGGTATTTGGAAACTGCAATTACAGCTTAGTATATTTTAGGTACAAATTAATTAAAAGAAAACGTTCCACCTACTTTAGTGAACATAACTGTAAAATAAATTTGTTTGAAACAATTTTTACTAAATTTATGAAACTAAAATCGGTAGAACATCAACTGACGTGGAATAATTTTTGACATACCAACAAACACTCATGACTAACTTGACCAAAACTAGTCTTCCCTTCTTCATATCCTTAAATAATCTTAATGTCAAATAAAAATTAATTACTTTTAAATTTTTTAGGTGTGAAATTTTCTTACCGAATCCCCCACGATCTTGAATTAATAACCGGAAACTTTTCCTCGTACACGATTTTTTAAAAAAATTATCCCTGGTCGCTTCGCGACTTTCAAAAAATCATGTACTCGAAAAAAATTTCCGGTAATAATTCAAGCTCTAGGGAGATTACTAGTGATAATCTTGGAAATAACTTTCCAAATCTTGGACGTCTTGTATAAATCTTACTTCGAATGGGGTCTTTTGTATGATGACATATTTCACTCTGATTGTCAGATGGGTCAATTTCCTCGTCATCATCATTCTGTTATCTAGGACAGTTAGTCTGTTAATTGGATCAACATACTACTGCTCTATTTTTATTTCATCTATATTTAAGAACAATAGCAAAATGACCTTGTCGATCTTTTGGATTATATCCTTAAAAAAAAAATAATAATTTTGACATAATTTTCATCCCAATAGACATACAAATTTGATTAAAAGAACCAAAGATTTGTTTTGGATACGAAATTATTTAATAACCATTTAAAATATAATCAAAACGAAATTACAATGAAATAGTCTCTGAATTTTGGTGATTACGAATAATATTATTAATAATAATAATATTGATTTACAGTTTTTCTACTACCATTTTGGTCATCAGGAACAAAACTATCAAAATCAAATGAATGGATATGGTTAGGCTTAGGCGAACTTATTACTTTTTTCGATTGGAATGATGGAGAACCAAGCACCAAAGATGGTAACGAGTTTTGCATAGCCATAAATCCTGATTATACTGGTCATGGTTTTTGGAGTAGTAAAAGTTGCAATTCATCAATCTTCTCACTTTGTCAATCAGTTTCTAAAAACTAAACCAAAAAGATATTTTTGATGTAATCTTCAGAATAAATAATTAAACCAAATAATTACCAGTTTTTAATTTTCGTGTTAGAAATTGTATTAACATCAGCGTTTGTCTCGAATGAGGAAATCAACAAGACTTCAGAAGTATTATTTGTATTTTGAAAATTTTGCAAACATAAAAGTACAACTTACTTAAGTGGTATAACTAAAATTCATCTGTTTCAATGTGGCCATCTTCATAAACAAAATAAATTATTCAACATGTGTACTACATGAAAGTTGGAACTGTTTTTGGTAGTACAACGATTCTGTGACACCATGGTAACTCTACCATCGAGTTCTCCCATTTCACGTCATACCTTCCGAAGAAGTAACCTGGTGACAACGGACGATAGGTGAGTACTGGACGTAGAGAACAATGGAAAAGTGTGCCAAAGTTGTGTCACGAAATATGTGTTTTGCCTGTATAGGTATAAAACCGCTGTTTACAAGAAAACTTAACACCAAAATACATACACATCAAGATTAACAGAGAACCTCTTTCATTGAACAGTAGGAGATGCCTACGCCGCCTAAAAGTCTTACTTTTGAAAGAAGAAATCAGGACACAATATAGAAAACTCTACTTTTTAGATTTACGTCTAAAAACAACTTATGACCGTCTAAAAGAGGTTTGGCCTTTCATATATTTTGATAATTTCATGTCTTTTGTACATAATTTGGTTAACTATGATAGATGCAATAAGATGAAAACTTTGAATGAAAAATTAATCAAACTAAAAATTAAAAATAACAATGTTAATAACAATCCCTCAGATCAAAGTTCACATAAATTTCATACACCTCTTCTAAATTTTTCTGATACTACTTTTACAGAAACTGAAATTGACCTCCTTAACAAGGGTATAAAATTTAATCCAACTAGATCAAATGCCATTTCACTTAATAAAAACTTAGAACTACTAGCAGTAGAAGCAGAGTCCATTTTACAAAACTTTGAAATTGACAATAAAGAAGATCTTAGATGTGGATTAGTTAACATATTCAAAAAAGAAAAAGAAACGTTATTAAATAATCTCTCTTCAAGAGGCACTTTTAATGATAATTTAATTAAAAATATTAATAAAAAGATTAAAAATAATGATCTAATATTGACAAAAGCAGATAAAGGCAATTGTCTATTAATTCTGAACGAATTTGATTACTTGTCTAAAGTTTACAACTTTTTGAACACTAACAGTTTCGTTATAATCACTAACCCCTTAAATAAGTATAATACCAAATTTAAAACTACCCTTAAAAATTGTACACATTTGTACCATGATTCCTTGTTTAATAAATTCAAACCAGATCACAAATTAATACCTAGGCTATATGGCCTTCTCAAAATACACAAATCTGACAATTTTGATGACATACCAATCCGCCCTGTCGTGTCATATATAAATTCACCAACATATTATACATCAAAGTGGTTGAATGACATACTCAAAATCCATTATAAAGATCACTTTACACATACAGTCAAAAATAGTGTACAACTTGTAAACAACATCAAAAATGTTCACATTAATGATACAGATTCTTTGATCTCTTTAGATGTATCAAACTTATTCACAAATATTCCTATACCAGAAGTTCTAGGTTTTGTTGAATCACATTTGTCAAGTTCGAATATGTCTGATATTGAACTAGTAGAATTTTTGAACCTTCTCAAGGTTTGTTTAGAACAAAACTTTTTTTCATTCAACAATGAAATTTTTTCACAAACAAATGGACTTTCTATGGGATCTCCACTTAGCCCAATTTTAGCAGACATATTTATGCACAATTTTGAAAAAGAGAAAATCCTTAAAAATAAACTTTTCCACTCAAATGTGAAATTCTATTATAGATATGGTGGTCAGGTAACTTAGACTCATTAAATGACTTCTTGACTTATATTAATGACTTATATTAATGACTTACATTCTAATATTAAATTCACATTAGAAATTGAAATAAACAAATCTATTAACTTCTTAGATCTTAAAATCTCACACAATAATAACAAGTTCAACTTTGACATCTATAGAAAGCCAACACATACAGGCACAGTTATAGACAATACCTCTAACCATCCAGCAACACATAAATTGGCTGCCTTTAATTGCTACTTAGAGAGGCTATTAAACATCCCTCTGTCTACGGAAAACTTTAATAAGGAACTAAATATAATTAAAACTATTGCTATAGATCACAACTTTGAACTGGATAATATTGATAAAATGCTAACACATAAACAAAATAAAATTCAACAAAACTTGGTTTATATTAATAATCCTAATTTGGTACATGAACTAACCACCAGTAAGAAATACATTTCTCTTACCTTTATTGGAAAAGCATCCTATAAAGTGGCAAGCTTACTTAAAGACCACTTTAAAGTATCTTTCAAAACCCCCTCCTCATTACATAAGTTATTTGTTCATAATAAAGATAAATTAGATCCTTTTGACTTGTCTGGAATTTATAAATTGACTTGTAAATCTTGCCATTCTTTCTATGTGGGACGCACATTTCGAAATTTCAAGATCCGTTTAAAAGAACATTTGCGTTGTCTTAACCAAAATACAACAGGATTTTCACATTTTGCCAACCACCTACTGGACTCAAATCACGACTTCGATTCAACTGAAGGTTTCGAAATCCTACATAGTTCCTACCATAGATTTACTCTTAATAGCTTCGAAAGCCTCGAGATATTGAGAAATTTAAAATTAAATCCTGTTGGTTGCTTAAATGCCCAGATAATGTCAGAAACTCCTCCAGTTTTCTCAACACTAATCTAAATTTATCGTTCTAACTTCCTTTTTAACCTCCCCCTTTATTTCTATTCACATATTTCCTTACAAGGGGTACATTTCAGTAAGTAATTTTTTCCCACAAAAAACCAACGTGCATGTTTAAGGACTAGGTTAAGTTGTGTGTTTTCACATCTGTCATTTTCTTCTTTTCTTCTTCTTTTATTTTCCAGTTGCTTCACAACAGTTAACCCAGTCATTTCTTCTTCTTTCTTATTTTATCCTACAACATCACATACACTTGGTGATTGGTTCATGGCCCAAATCTTATATAATAAATAATAAATATTTCTTCACTCATAGTTTACATCTTATTACCTATACCCTGTCATAAGTTTATTCAATAATTTTTCTTTAGTACTTACCACCACCTGTAGAGGCCTTAACTTGACAGTTCTCCTTTCAAAAATGTTAGATTTTTATAAAAAACAGCAATGTTTGCTTAAAATAGGCCTTATCTTTTAATCTGTTTAATGTATGTAATTTGTTTTTGTATCGTCTTGAATATTTTAAAATTTTTAACTGTTTATATCGACTAATATTTGTTTTTCAAATATTTTTAACTTTTATAACTTGTAACATTGTTTTGTTTTACAATTTATTTCATCCCCCACGTTTTGATGAAACTTGTCTGTAGTATTCCCTAGTGGATGGAGAGTATGGTGAGTTTTTCTATTTTTTACTATTTTATATATTGTGGGCTCAAAGTCAACACACCTTACACCACATATTCTCCTTTCCACTAGGCGAGCCTGAAGATGAAGTGATGTTACTTCGAAACCGGTCGCACTCAATGTTTTTGTTGAATAATTAAACATTGGACTTTCCTTGTGAGATATAAAGGACCTTTTCTCCCCCCTTCACCTTAAAATAAAAAGAAGGTGTGGGAGAAGCAAGGCTAACCTGTATTAATTCAAAACTCATCGTTTTTATCCCTTGATCTCTTCTTCTTTCCCATATAAGATATAAGATACCACATAAGATACCATATAAGATACCACATATTGCGCAAAAGTTATCATTGACTATTCTAAGTGTCATGTGACTAGCCTAGCCAAGCATAAAAAGTTTTATTGTGTAGGAGATAAAGTTGAAATATTTTTAAATCAAATTAATTTCAATCTTGTCAGGTATGCACCCCACAACAATCATCTTCTAAGCAGTCACATCTTTCATTAACATCATCATCATTAATATTATTAACAATAGTCAAATTTTCAGCATCAATAATGTCTTAGTAGAAGTTTAGGTTATCTATTTCACTCCATTCGCCATATAAAGCTGTCAGTAAATCATTTATATCTTTTTTTCTTTGTATTTGAAATCGTGTGACCCAACTGCTTGTCTATCTGAAATTGTCATTTGCTTTGACTGTAATATTAGTTTTTCCAGACTTTTTTTAAGTAAATTATTTTCTTATTGCTTATATTCTCTGTTCTTTAGATGTATAGAGATACTGTTGGTGTCTTTCAGTGTCCAATCTATTCCCAACTGCTTTACGGCTCCAACTTCTTTAAATAGCTCATAAAACTCTTCTTTTGTTACTATAGTAGTTTTCTTTCGAAGAAGTTTCTCTAACCTTCCAAAACACGATCGGCAGGGAGGAAACTATGTTCTCAAACAGGAAATGTAATGATGATCTCTTTGATAGGACCTTGGTAAATTGAAAGGAAGTACATTTATATGTGGATAAGAATGTTGTTTTTGTTTTGTCCTCCGCATCCTACACAGAAAAGCTTTAATTCTTTTTTTCCATTAAAATCACAAGTTCAGGAGTGCTGAAGAAACTTTAGTTGACACTTTTCCAGCTTGCTCTTCAGTCCAAGTGTAAAAGATTGGGTTAGCATTCTTTACATCTATAATACATAGATTATAGAATGAAAGTTGACAAGCATAAAATGCTTCTTGAATAGGAGTTTTGGGTAACTGCTGCACTTGTTGCATGTCAAAGCAGTAGATAATGTCTTCTTCATGTTCTTCTTTCATGAGTTCCCAAAAAGCTTGAGTTTTTTTTATGAATTCTAAGTTGTATTAACAAGTTAACTTTGGTTTCACCAATAGCATTTTTTACAGTAACTACACACGTCAGTTGCTAGACTCTTGAATTGAATATTAAAGTCCTTGTTGAAGACACGTCGAAACATTGCAAGAGATACACGTAAACTGTTTGGAATTGTATGCTTTATGAAGTTTCTTGACATTCAGATCATATCTAAGGTACATTC